TAACCTCCCGATGAAGAATAGGAGACGGCGGCGGCTCCGTCTCGTGAAACAAGATAATTCTTTCTCCCTGATTTTTTTCTAGAAAAATAGGATTTTATAGCGTCGGTTTCAGGGTCTGCGGGGCTACCAGGTGGACAACCCACCTGGGGGTGCCTGGAGGGGGTGGCGCGCCCTGGTGGGTTGTGCCCACCCAGGGTCCCTCCTCTGGTGGTTTTTGGCTCCAGAAATTCTCCTTTATTGTATAAAAAATCCTCGTAAAGTTTCGTTCCATTCCTAGAACTTTTATTCTGCATAAAAACAACACCATGGTAGTTCTGCTGAAAACAGCGTCAGTCCGGGTTAGTTTCATTCAAATCATGCAAATTAGAGTCCAAAACAAGAGGAAAAGCATTATGAAAAGTAGATATGATTGAGACGTATCATGGAGCTACATCCGGCGGTGGCGGCCAACGACCGAGCTAGAACCGGTCGCTACTGTGGTTGTGACCATCTGTTGGACCCACGTAATGACAAAGCCGGAACCATCGTATGATTTTGCTGGAACTGGCTTTTTTGTTTGCTACAACCGACACAAAGTTTTGGTTATGAGATTATTATTTCCTGGAACAACCATTAATTTTGTTGGAAGTGGCTTTTTTGTTATTACAATTGACCACTAGTGTTTTTGCTGCAGCATTTTGTTTTGCTGGAACTCGTTTTTTTGTTTGCTACAATCGACCTAGAGTTTTGGTTATGAGATTATTACTTGCTGGAACCACCATTAATTTTGCTGGAAGTGGCTTTTTTGTTGTTACAGTTGACCACTAGTGTTTTTGCAGCAGCATTTTTTTGCTGGAACTCGCTTTTTTGTTTGCTACAATCGACATAGTGTTTTGGTTATGAGATTATTTTTTGCTGGAACCACCATTAATTTTGCTGGAAGTGGCTTTTTTGTTATTACAATTGACCACTAGTGTTTTTGCTGCAGGATTTTATTTTGCTGGAACCAGCATTTTGTTTTGCTGGAACTAGCTTGTTTGTTTGCTACAAACTACTATTTTTTAGATTTGTGCCGCCGAGACTATTTTTGCTGGAAACGTCATTTGCTACCACCGTAGTCTGTTTTTGCTGGAACCAGAATTTTTCAAAGGATCCAACGGGACGATGACGCAAAGCTACATTGGGTAATTTTGTTGCGAGTGTCGACAGCGAGCACTTTTTGCTACCACCGTAGTCTGGTTTTGTTACCACCGTTTTCTATTTTGTTTCGAGCGTCGACGGCGAGCATCGGTGGCGAGCATTTTTTGCCACCACCATAGTCTAGTTTTGCTACCACCATCGTATGTTTTTGTTGCAAGCACCGACGTCGAGCATCGGCAGCGAGCGTCGGTGGCAAGCGTCGACACGGAGCACAACAACAACTGTCTACGGCAAGGGCAAACAGGGATGCGCGCAGCGCGACGCGGGGGCAAGGTGTGTCCGCCATGTGCTAGTGTGTTTTCTCAAATCTCGTGCTCGGTGGGAAGGAAGCTATGGAAAGGAGATCACCAAAAATGGGAGCGCTCCCCGCTAGGCCCCCGACCCGCTCCCTCGCGCTAGGGTTTCCGCCGCCGCCGCCGCCGACCTAGCCCCATCCCGCCGCCGCCAGCCGCCGGCGCCTGCGCCCCAGCCCTTCCTGCCCCCCTCTTCCCCCTCCCCTCCCATTGCCGCCCCTGCGCCGCCTCCTCGGGAGGTGGCCGAGGCGGCGCGCCCCCTCCCCTTCTTCTCGGCTCCCCCTCAATGGTTCTCCCCCGCCGCCGCCGGCGGTTGCCCCCGGCGCTAGCCTGGGTGGTGCCGGTGGCGGCGGGCCCTTCTGTCCCCGCGCGCTCGTCTCCTTCCCGGGGCAGGTGACGGCGGCGGTGCTGCTCGGCTGGGCGAGGGCTCGGCGATCCGGTGGCGGTCGCCGGCGGTGGGCGAGGCGGCGGTGCTACCCTTGGCGGCAGGGTGGCGTGGTGACGTGCGGTGGCCGGCGGGGCGCCCCCGGCCCAGATCTAGGCCCTCCCGGCCCCATCTGGGTCCTAGCGGGCTGGCCATTGGCGTGGTGTCGACGTCCTCTGCGTGGCGCGGAGGAGGAGCGGCTCAGACTCGCGGTGGTGGCGCCAACGGCATGCCTTCTGCAGCGTGAAGGCGGGAGCTTTACGGGCATCTGCAAACCCGGCCGGACCTGTGGGCCCAGGGGACCAGTATACTCCTGCTGTCACGTCTGATCGGTTACCGTCATTGGCGGTGGAGGTTGGGCCCTCCCGCGTGCCGACGATGTTGCTGCCCCTAGTCCCGGCTCCTCTTCTTCGTTGAGCAGGCCCCTTTCACGGTGTCGTGGTGAGACGGCGCGGAAGCTCCAAGACCGTTTTGGCGTAGAGTGGTGGTTTGTTTGGTGACGTGCTCCGGATCGCCCGAGGTGAAGGTTTGGGATCAAGAGAAATCCCTGTCGGCCGAGCCGACTCCGACGCGGTGGCACCTGAGGGTGCCACCGGACCTTCATGGAGGGCGTCGGAGGTACCCTTTCTCTCTGCTCGTCGAGTACGGGAGGAAACCCTTGGCAGTAGCATCATCATCATCGCATCCCTTTTTGGAGGTGTTGATTGGTACCGGCGCTCCGGAGTATAGGTGCTTAGTGGAGGATCCCGGTGGGCGCGGCGGTCGCGAAGCTTCTTCTTTTTCTTTATCCGCCGGTGTTGGCATTTGTTTCTTTTCTTTTTCTCTTTCGTTTCTTTTGAGCGTGTCTGTGCTGTTTCCGTCCCAGCACCTATCTGGTTGTATTGGTGATGTTTGCTTTGGAATACAAAGCGGGGGAAACCCTATTTCGAGTGAGGCTATGGAAAGGAAGGATCGGATGGCTATCATGGGACCGGCCGAAATTTGGACCGGCCGGCCGGCGCCTAGCGTTCGCCAGAAGAAAATGAAAATAAGCAAAGTCTTATAAGATACCCAGTATAGCTGTAACTGCATTATCATAAAAAAGGGAAAATGTAAATAAGTCGTGTGCCGTTAGTAGACACTCGCCTTATATTGCCCGCCGTCACCGGGCCATTAAACGCGGCGGGGAGGGACACGTGGCTCGGACTTTGCCGAGCTACCCATGTAAGCAAGCCGGGTGTTTCTTGCTTCATGTACCGACCGCATATTGGTGTTATCTTTACAGATCATGCATGGCTCGGAACATGTTCTTTGCTTGTGCGAGACCCCTAGCCAGCTCTCTATTCACGGACCACTGCTTTGCACAGCAGATCTCCACTCTCGAGTGTTCGAAGGCTACGTGCGTGTGGATTGCCATGGCTGGCGAGGGCAGCGCGCGCAGTGAACGCAGCACTGAGCAACAAGTGACACAATATGCAAGAGTGTCGCTTGTCTGCCTGCGATCCAGCCCAGCAACTTGAGGCGTTCGGGGAAGAGAACACATCCACCACATGCCCCGACCGACCGGGATGAGCGACAACGCTCTCCGTGTACAACGGGTAGGCTGGACACCGAGCCAGCCGGAGTCACCACGGAGAACCCAACTGGCTCGGCCGGCGTGTCAGCCATCGGAAGAGCACTTGTCACTCGACTGGTACCCGGAGCTTCGGCGGGCTGCTCCGCGACACCTGCGTGGCGTCAGGCAGGGCTCGTGCCTCTTCAGCCTTCACCTTCTATACCAGACAGACTAGTATCTACCACAGCACGGGCTCGAGGTGGGCCACACGAAGCCTCAGCATCGGGAGTTGCACAGCGCTACAAATTTGCTGGAAAACTGACTTGTCCACGTTTGGAACCTCGCAGCACAGACATAACACTAATGTTCACGGTGGGACCTTTAACGCATACTACTGCAACTCTACCAAAGCACAAGATTTAGTTTGTTGAATTTTAGTACATGTATGTAAGAGGCATGCGGCTGGGGCTGTGGTTTTTTTTTTTTTGCGAAAAGATTGGATTTGTTATAAAGATTCACCGGAGTACAAAATACCTCAAACATAATAAAAATTACATCGAGATCTATGGACCACCAAACGACCATTGCCGACGCATCACTGTCGCCGCTCCCATACCGGAGCCGGCCTGACCTTGTCGATGACATCCGGAAGTCTTCGTGCACACGCCTCTAAGGACCAGCGTCCGGAGGCCGCATTCGTCGCTGTTGAATCCTTGAATCGATCTGAATAATTTGACACCAATATCGCCGTTGGATATGCACGGTGAGAAACTCTAACCTCCCCGCTCCGAAGAGCTGGCAGAAATCTACGTCAGAGATCCATCTAATCCATCCCAATGAACGAATTTGACGAGGAACGGAGCCCAAAAGACTGACTGGAAGAAGAAGCATCATCGTCCGTCCAAACGCCGCCCCTGCGAGGACTAAAACCCTATCTATCTACTAGCCGGAGCCGAGGCACCAAAAAAAACCCTCCCCGCCACTGACTGCCGGAGCGGCAGGTGGAAGAGAGGCGAATCCATGGGCTCGCCATCGGAAATCGAGGGGAGAAAGGCTTTCTGATCTAGTCGTCTTACGAGACAGGAAAGAAAAGCAATCTTTGGTTGGCGTTGTGGGTTGAACGACCATGACAATAGCAATTGGGGGAGAGAATGTTCCATCATAATTCATTTCCTCAAGATTCATGAATTGACATTCATCATTTTGTTCCACCTTCGGGCTTCAACATTTATTTACTAATCAACTCCATCATTTTCACATATTATTTATATGGTTCCAAGATTATCGTAAAAACAATAATTAGTCAAATAGTTCATTATGTATGCATGAAGGCATAAGAGGCAGCACAATTTAACAATCTACGAATGATATAGCTAACACAAATTCTTCATCGATCTTTATATACGTGGGATAATTTACATTGTATTCATTGAACTCATGGAACATGAAATACTATACAAGACATATGTTTGTACATAATTAAGATACACATAGAAATACTTAATTAAAGTGGACGTGTGCAATTATGTAATATTTTTGTGCATAGGAGGATATGCGGCATATGACACTCCTATGCAGTGGGGTAAGAAGGCTCCATCGCAAGGCCACACATGCCCCTCTTGTCGGTAATGTCCTTTTCCATTCTTAAATATCCGTTCTCGCCCCATGTTGTTCCCCATGAGTTCTTTAACAACCAATACTTTGTGCCGTCGCTGGTCTTGCCATAACCAATAGCTGCAATTCCATGGTCTAGATCAGTGCCACATGAGCCAGTCATCACTCCACCTTTGTAAAACTGGAACGTCATATCTCCTCCATCTACGGCTACCGAGACAGGTTGACTTGCGACGGCTTGCATGAGGGCTCCCTCATTGTTGGTTGGTACATCCTCATAGCTTTTGATGGTTGCGGCATCATTGGTTCCACTCTTGCACTTGTCATTTGCCGCGGTATATGGGTAGTTGGACTCGGTGGTGAGACCACCATTCTTGATTATGAACTTAAAGGCATCATCCATGAGACCTCCTTCACAACCTTGGTCTTCACCATGGACATCACAATCCACCAACTCTTGCTCCGACAATGAGATAAGTTTGCCAGTTTTGAGTTTAACGATGCCCTCTGTAGCAGCGACAGCAGAAAACGCCCAACAACAACCTACACATGGTTATGTTTTAGTAGATACTATCAGACGACATTCTCAGAAAAGTAAACATATATGAAATACATCATTATCCTTAATATACTCACCACATTGGCCTTGGTCCTCCAGTCTACAGTTGTCGGAAGTGCATCGAGACTAAGATTCTTGTACCTGAATTCGGTAGGAACCCGCTGCAAGCTTGGTTTGTACCCCTTGTTAGGCATTGTCCCCTTGAACTCCTCATTGGTGAGGTCGGCGAACTGATTGATGGCCAAATAGAACTTGTCATTTTTGGCTCGATGAACCCGACATTGGCCTTGAAGATCTCAGATCGGTATGCCTTCTCAGTAGTGTCTTTGTACACACGATTGTACTGCATCATCCAGCTCTCATGCATCGCCACCATCGACAAGTCATCATTGATCTCGCGAGCTGCTACGGCCTAACTGTAGAAGCAAAGGCATCCGAGGAGGCCAATGATCAAAGCTTTTGAGATGGCCATGGTATATTTGATGGATTGCTTGCGAGTACTTGTGTGCGATGTGTGCTCTGCTTGCTTTCTACGAATGGAATTGGGTGTCTTATATAGTTCCATGCATGTATTTAACTATGAATGATGGAGAAGGTCTCCAACGTAGCGGTGAAGTACGTCTAGTGGGAGGATGTTATAAATCAAAGATACTTACCGTCTGTTGTGGGGATGGTGGTATAAATCAAACATACTTAGCTGGATGTGCTTCCATGATGATGTTGACGGATTTTTCTATCAATGTTATTCCTATGTATCTTTATAGCATTTTGGCGTGAGTTTGATGCCGTCTGTGCAATGCATGTATAAAAATTTATAGTGTAACATTAAGTTTTAGATTCTTGATTTACATATTTGTGGGTACCTACCCCGAAAAAAATTACGGGTACCTACAGAGAATATAGATAAGAATCCTTGTAGCATGCCAATATAAAATGATTAGATGTGCCACTTGTAGGGACTAGGAGGGCAACACGGACATAATAAGTTGATTAAGACAACTTAGCTAACCATATCATCTTATATTAAAAAGAACTAAGGATAGTTAACCTATCTTAAGTAATTTAATTCTGAGTCCAAACAATGATTGATACTCATCTTCTATTTTAAGTTCCATATGGACTTAGTGAGCCCCAAACGTACGTCTAGTGCAAGAATTTTAATACCACCGGACGTACTTCCTGGCCACGCAGACGCTCCTTTCGACTAACAATTTTATAGAAGCACTGTATGTCACAATCCCTGCGGCGGTCGTGGTGTGTGGGTGGTCACCCTAAGAAGCGTGTGGTGCGGGTTGTTGGGTTTTGCAGCATTGCAGCTCAAGGCTGAACGGTAATATGTAACGCCCTGCAAAGTAGACACACCGTGCAAAGCACCAAGCGACATATACAACCAACGCAGACAACGCTTTTCTCCCCCTCCCCTTGATTTGTAGGGCTACGAAAATGATACGGAAGAATCGAGCAGAGTACGCACGCATGGATAAGTGGACCAAGGCAAGAGAAACATTGGTGGGTAGTTGAGAGCCGAGTGAACACATGACATATGCACGTACAGATGGGACCAATGCAAGAGGAAAGGGAGATGGCCGACTGTAAAAGGCGACATCCATGCAAAACTGTCAGGAGGGCCTACAACCCCCGATTCTAGCGAGTACAATAAGTTGGGATCCTTTGGCACCCCGAACTTCATCGCCAACGCCGTGGGTTGCCTTGACCTCATTGCTCCCCTCTTCGAGTGGCAGATTTCCATCTTTGGGAGCATGCATTTCATCGCCGATGGGGTCGGCGAGACACGTACCTACAACACGTCACTGCGCTAGGCACAAGATCCAACTCCCATGCAATGTCCATGATTGGCATCAACAATCCACCAGCCCTCCTTGACTTGCCAGATTGTGGCGACAGTGGAGTCCATCTTCCCTATCTTGGATGAATATGAGTCTGAGGGCGCGATATCTTGGATACCCACCTATTGGAAATATGATCTAGATACAATAATAAATGTTATTATCTATTTCCACGTTTATAACTAATGTTGAATTTCTATGTTAGAAATTGCTACGGTTCTTGAATGTGAGATTCAGAGGAAAACTCACATGCATGTGTAGAAACATAAACGCAAAATAGGTTCCTAGTCTCGCCTCTAAGGCTAGCTCATGTGTTGCATGATGATACCATAGGACATTGTTGAAGTAACAAGGATGCCGGCAACAATGAGAGCACACTGTGAACGGAACAATGGTGTTGAACAGACCAACCGAATGATATACTATGGCAACACATGTTATAAGTATAATCATAAAAGTGTTACCGTATACTCACATCCTTAAACCATGAGAGTATCAAGTACATTCATGCCGGATGGTACACTTTGGAGTTTGTCAAACGTTACCCGTAACAGGGTGATTATAAAGGCAGCTTTCGGGCACATCAAAAAACTATGTCTAGGGTTTTGATTGTTAGGGAACATAGTAATTTCAAAATTTTCCTACGATCATGCAAGATCTATCTAGGAGATGCATAGCAACGAGACAGGAGAGTGTGTCCACATACTCTCGTAGACCGAAAGCAGAAGCGTTTAGTAACGCGGTTGATGTAGTCGAACGTCTTCGCGATCCAACCGATCCAAGTACCGAACGTACGGCACCTCTGCGTTCAGCACACGTTCAGCTCGATGACGTCCCTCGTGCTCTTGATCCAGTTGAGGACGAGGGTGAGTTCTGTCAGCACGACGGCGTGGCGACGGTGATGATGATGTTACCGGCGCAGGGCTTCGCCTAAGCACTACGGCGATATGATCGAGGTGTGTAACTGTGTAGGGGGACACCGCACACGGCTAAGGCAAAACTTGGCGTGTCCTAGGGTGCCCCCCTACCCCCATATATAAAGGAGGGAGAAGGAGGAGGCCGGCCCTAGAGGGGGAGCGCCAAGAGTATGGAGTCCTACTAGGACTTCAAAGTCCTAGTAGTAATCCCTTTCCTTTTCGGAGTAGGAGAGAAGGAAAGAGGGAAAGAGAGAGGGAGTAGGAAAGGCCAAGGGGGCGCCGCCCCCGTCCCCTAGTCCAATTCGGGCCCATGGGGGGGGGGTGCCACCTCCCCTTGGCCTGCCTTCTCCTTTCCCGTATGGCCCAATAAGGCCCATTACTTCTCCCGGTGAATTCTCGTAACTCCCCTGTACTCCGAAAAATACCCGAATCACTCAGAACCTTTCCGATGTCCGAATATAACCTTCCAATATATGAACCTTTCTTCTTAACCACCCACATCTTCAGGGGTGGCTTAGAAGCAATGAGTCTAAGTGCAACATCTGAGAACTTTGGCTTGGGAGCCCTAGCAAATAGCTTCGTAGGAGGAGAATAATACTCATATGAATATGCAGAAAGTTCTTAGTTTTGTGAACATAGCGGTTAGAAGAAACACACTCATATTCATGAGTCTCATAACGGTTCTCTTGCAAAACATTGGCGTTAGGGTGACCATGAGTGGTCCTCTGTCTGTATGCAACCTTTGGTCCATATAACGCCTTTGGTCTGGGATTTGTCTTCTTCCCAAGTGGTGTCATGATGGCATTCATGGGAAGCTTCTCAAGACAACTTTTGGGCACCCAGATCTTCTTCTGGGGTGACCCATTCCTGCAGTTAGTACCAATGTACTTACCAAACACTTCACCATTCTAATTCGTAAACAGTTTATAATTTGCATCAAAGGATTCATCAATGACAATTGGGTTAGCACAAGTAAAGCCAGATTTAGTGGATGGGTCCACTAAAGGATCCTTAGCAGCAACCCAGGTGGTTTTGGGGTACTGCTCAGGCGTCCAATATGAACCATCAACACTCATTTTCCTCTCGAACCCAACACCCTCTTTCCTAGGGTTTCGGTTCAGAATCTGTTTCTTGAGGACATTGCACAAGGTTTGATGCCCTTTGAGGCTTTTGTACATGCCAGCCTCAAGCAATGTCTTCAAGCTAGCATTCTCATCGGCAATAGTAGTGGTATCCTTAGTAGAGGAGTTAGTTACCACATCAGCAGTTGAAGATATTGCAACATCAGAAGCAGTAGAACATTCAGCAACAGAGACAACATTATCGCGCTCAAGACACTTTAAGCATCGTGGAACAAATTCTACCTGAGCGGAACTGATCTGTTGGGCGAGTAGTCAATCGTTCTCCTTTTGAAGATCTTCATGAGACACTCTCAGTTTCTCAAGATCCTGCTTCCTTTGAAGATAATCGTAGGAAAGCTTCTCATGAGAGGCTGAGAGAGTTTCATGATGACTTTCAAGTTCTTCATACTTAACGTGAAGACTTTTAATGTCTTCGATTAAGGACTGAGTTTGATTCATTTCCGCGTCCAACAGGTCATCGCTTTTGTCTAGCAGCTTTTGAATATGTTCCATAGCAGTTTGTTGCTCAGTTGCAATTTTAACAAGTGTCTTATAGCTAGGTTTGGATTCAAATTCAGAGTCATCTTCACTAGAGGTTTGGAAATACGAATCGCGTGAAGTTACCTTGGCACCACATGCCATGAAGCAGTAGGTCGGAGCAGAGTCGTCATCATCATCATCAGCTTTGACTTCAGCGCTGTGACTGTTGTCTTCAGTGTTGAAGATTGACTTGGCGACAAACACTGACGCCAGAGCCAGGCTTGCCACACCATAATCAAACTCCTCCTAGGACTCCACCTCCGCCTCTTCAGAGGCAGACTCCTCCTATGAATCCATTTCCTTGCCAATAAATGCACAAGCCTTTCTTGATGAGGACTTCTTGTGAGATGAAGACTTTGACGAAGACTTTGAAGAAGATTTTGATGATTTCTTCTTCTTCTTGTCATCAGAATCATATT